CTACAGGCTGGGAACAGTGACTGGGAAAGGTGCCTGTCTTCACTGACAGGGTTATCGAGCTTTGGAGCAGGCTGCCCAGGGATGGTTGAGTCACCATACAAAGTGATATTTGAAGAACAGGCTTTAGTGGGGGACTTCTTAGTATTAGGCTGATGGATGGATTCAAGGACCGTAAAGGGTTTTTTTTTGGTCTAAATTACTTTCTGATTCCATAGATAAGCAAAGATGTTTTAATTTATGTAACAGCTTTTAAAGTTGTCAGCTAGCTGCATGATTAAGATTAATTTGAATCTTGAAAGTGTTTGTCCTCAGAGAAAGAAAGGTGGTAATCAGGAAATTTTTACAATCTATATTTTTTTATAAACGACAGACTTTCAAGATTTGTATATTTTTGTTTTTTATGCTGTATGACTTACAAAAAATACAGTCTCACCAGTGTCTGTCACACTGAGAAATGTTGTGGCTCAGGACCTGAACTTCCCGAGAAAATTTGATTTCAAACCTAACACTTGACAGTGGTGGAATTCTTGGTAGTTCTCTTAATGACCCTTATTCTTAAATAAGAAAAAGTTCTGATCCTGAACCTATGCAAAATACATAAATATTTACTAAAACCACATTTTTGAAATATGTCACCCTGCCCTAAAAAAAGTCCAATTTGTTTTAAACCACTGCATGATCCCTTGTTCCTCCTTGGGAGGCATGAGGTGTAGGAGACACAGGGAAGAACTTTTGTGTACAGCAGTGATCATATTCACATGCTATCTTTTTCCTCCAGAAGTAGTTTTTATTTCCTCCTCATTTCTTTTGTTTCTTATTGTTATTTACATATTAATTTAAAAAAAAAAAAATCAGTCTGAGCCAGAAACTATGCATTCTGCTGGTTAAAATCTTTGACATTTTCAAATAGCATAAATCTTCTGATATCCATATGTCAGGAGATAAAAAGTGATGATCCAGTTCTTATTATAAGAAAAAAGGAAAAAACAACAAAAAACTGAAATCAATTCAGGTCAGTATGTGCAATACCTTTTCACTGTTAACAAGAATCAATCTGTCAAACTGCGTTTTGTTAGTTTTCTGGAAAATGAGTTTTGAGGATCTGCAGCTTGAGGCCCTTAATTTTAAATGGAAGAACAGATAGCATCATATACTGTATCAATTTTCTGACTACTCTAAAGTGCAAAGTTAGCTTCTCCAGCGTTACACAGTTTTACTCTTTCAGCATGACTTTAAAATGCTTTGGGTTTGGTTTTGTTTTTTGTTTTTTTTTTAGTTCTTCAACACAGGCTCTGCTATGCAGGCACTTTCTGTTTCTTATGAAAAATGGAGGAAACATATGGATCACTCAGAATTATTAAGAAGACTTACAGATTGATCGTTTATATATTTTGCAAATCTTAAAAACCAACAGTTAGAAGAAAAGTCTTAAAATATTTAGACACGGTAATGAACTAGCTGCTTTCCATAGCCTTGTTCCTAGGTTTCTCTTAAGGCAAACTGAGGAAGATCAGAGGCAGATTTACTCACTCCTATGTCAATCAGTAACACAGAATTCCTTTTCCTAATTCTTCTCTATTTTTCTTTTTACGTAATAAAACTTGTAAAAATGTCTTGAGGTTCTGCACAGCTCAAATTGCATTAGTAAAGGGTCAGAACTTAATGTCTTTTTTTATATATATTCTAAGTGCTGAAAATTTTAGTCTGTGGAGAGAATGGAAATTCCTGTCCCCCACTTAACAAAGCTTTTCGTCTACGGAACATGTCATTGAAGAATTACATGTTTTGATGAAAAAATTGATAGAAATATATACCACAGAGTTTGACAGGAAAATTCTGAGAATTTTATATAAGGTTTTTGAAGTCATGTTATCACCATCCACTTATTTCAAGAAAAGTTTCCATTCAGGACTACTCAGGAAGTACCTTCTTACTCATCATTTTAGTGACCTCCGGGCATGGATTTGAGCTGTGACCCTCTCAGACTAAAAATAACTAATGATTTTTCTGGGGTTCTTTACTGCTGCTTAGTGCTGACCAGAAACAAACTGATAAAACTAAGGTCAGTTTTGGACAACATCTGCCTGATCTTACAAGGAACATATGCTTCTGCTTCTGTGGGGCTTTTGATTCATAGAAAACATGAAAGTTTTTGTCTTTGGCCTCATTGGCATGGAACGCTTTTAAAATTTTGACCTATCTGAAAATATAAATCATTCCACTGGCTGCTGATAAGAGCTAGTTCTTTTTTCAACTTAGTGCATTAGGAGCTTGACACTGTTTCACAAAAATCTAACTCTTTTTTCTAGGATGTATTTTGGAAGCCTTGCTAGACCAATTACTTGTACTATGTGAGTGGTTACTGTAATTACAGGAATGCAATAATATGGCCAAGCACAATCAATATTAATTCCATTGGAAATAATGTGGATTTATAACTTTCTTCATAGAATAAAATGTGAATTGCAACTTTGGCAACCATAGTTAGTCAGTAAAAAGTAGTTACCTACTGAGACACTTATTATGCTCATTTATATTTTTAAATTAAAAATCCTCAATACATTTAAAAAAATGGTAGGGGGTTTTATGAATAAAAAAGGAAAGGGTCTGCTGTTTATGAATATCATTTGTGAGAAATATGATTTTCTTTTAGAATATTTTTTACTAGTTTGTGCAGTCCTGAACATAATTTTTAGCAAGAATAAACATGTACCTTATTATCCAGTATAGATATGCCCTGTCTATTGTGTGATGATGAATTATCACTTGCTGATCATTGTAAGAAGGACAACGTTTAATGACCAGGAGAGATGAACTGAGCTCTCATTCTCACTAAGTAGCAAATATAAGTGGGAAATGAATGATGAAAAATACATAAATTAAACGGTGCCATATTTTTTTTAAAGATTGGTTTAGCCCTCTAGCATGGGCCAAATTAGGAATGACTTTTAGAACCAACACAAATGACTAATATTCTAATGGAATCAACTAAACAGTCCCTTAGTAATACGAGATTTTTGTCTCCATCTCTCTAATAATGTGTTAAGTATTTAAATATTCATATAAAATATTATCTTTCCCTTGAAATTACTAAAACCTTCTACCATTATGCACTAATACAGAAAGTCTAGCAATATTTTACTGAGGGTTAGGTATCACATTTTACTAAACCCCTAAAATTTTATTGGAGCATATTCTTCAAGATCTAGTAATAGTGTAATTTATCATTACATTTTATTGCCAATCCTATACTTAAATATCTTAGAGGGGTTACTACAACTTACCTTTGTGTAATAATCTATTTAATGGTCTCAGCCTTTCAGTATATTTGGAAGCAGCAATACATCTAAAAGGCAGTTTGATACAAATTAACTCTGCCAGTGGATCAAAGTTGGTAGGTACCTTGCTTGTTCACATATCACCTCTGTGTAGTCAACCCAGAATTCACCAGTGCTTTTCCCTTAGTTAGCAGCAATGGAAACAAAAAGGCTAAAAGTGCTGAGATAAAGGAAAAGTTTGAGTTACACAAACCATAAAATCTGAAATTATTTCCAAATCCTTCCTGAAGGAGTATTTGTGCTTTCTGCAGTGAAGTTTATTCCAAGGCTCGAGAAATACACTGTATCACCAGTACCTAAGAAGATCTTGTGTTGAATTTTCATGTAAATTGCATGTCAGTGGACTTGTACTATCTGTTCATCAACCCACATAGTATATATTAGATCTCTTCCTCAATCATCAGGCAGCTGATGTACTTATTTATAATTAAGTAGCCTTAGATGAGCTATGGGGACTACAAACAAAGCAAAACAAGCCAAACCCACAAGAGACTTGGCAAGTATTTTGTAAGTGGCTCCCAGCCAGACAGGCATGTGTTCAGATCCTCACATGAGTGCTTCATGTGCCTTGCCAAATTTCTTACATTTCCTGTTGACCTGCTCCTCCAGGTTTATTGGATGTGTATGAACAGTATCCCTTCACTCAAGTTACTGACCAGCTTCCCTTCATTTGGTGTCATCTGTAATCTTTGAGAGTGAGCTCTGACATTTTCTCCAAGGGACTGATACAAATGTTAAATGGGAGTGGTCCTGCAATATTGCCCTCATGGTTCATAAACCAAAATTACCTGGAGAAAACATACTCTGAGAACTGCAAGTGAAGTCTCAATTCCAGCATATCCATCCTGGCCAGTTCCTTCTGCTGGTGTCATGATCTGGGTTCCACCAGCAAGCCTTCCTTGCCCTCACCAGCCTCACTGGGGTCTCTACCCAGGCATCCTCTACCAGGTCCAGGAGTCCTATTTGGGCTCAGGCTTGTCAGGCTGGGACACCCCATTACACCTTGTGCTGAGTTGTGGTTGTCCCTGTGTTCAGTCGTAACTTCTGCTCTTTCTGAGGAAACTCTCAGGGTGGAGCCCAGCCCTGACTCATCCCCTCACCTTGCCTGGGGTTGCCATGCAGTGGATTGCTATCCCAGCCCAGCCCCTCTTGGGTCCTGCCAGACTGCACCCCTTTAGAGAGAGCATGGCTTGTGCTGCCAGCCCCTGCTGCTCCAGGTCCAGCAGCCCTTGTGGAGCAGCCTCACTGCTGCTGTTTGGTACATGGCTTCTTTAATCACTTCACAGTGCAAATCTATGTGCCCAAATCAGGCACCTATTGTAGAATACAGAGGATCTCTGTTCCATAAGGCTTCCATAGTTCCAACCAAATTCTCCTCCAGCCTCTGAAGGAGGTAAGTGTGGAGGAGGGATAGGTACATGGAGAATTCTAGCCTTTATATGGAAGAATAGGATAAGAATAAATGAGAGTAAAAGGAAATTTCAGCCTTGCCATCATAAAAATTACTTTCTCTTGGATAAAATAAACGTCTCTTACATAGTAGTATTATAATTTTCAGTTTATTTGTCATATTAATGTTTCTACTTCTGCATCTACTTCTAGCACTACAAAAAAAAATTCTCAGACTGATAGATTATTAAAAATTCAGAAGTTTACCTTTGTAATTTTTGCTTTCTGCCCTGAGGTGCATTTAATGCTCTTTCTTTTGACCAAACCTGTAGAAAGAAGAGAAAACAAATGGACCTAATTTTGTCCAATTTTTTCTGTACTGTCAACTCACTACATTCTGAAAAAATGCATAAATCTAAGTCTAGAAAACTCATCTTGTAAATGGGATCATTGCATTCACTTTTACCAAGAGTTTTGATAGTTCTGTCACTTAAAAATTTTGTTTTACATTTCATTCACACTAGGTTATATAAACAATGCAAGAATGACCTGGGCGATCCCTTCCCAGTTTCAAGAAAGTAGTAAAAAGTGCATGAGTCACAAGCACTAAGTCCTCTTCTTGATTCTTGAAGCTCAGTTTAGTAAACGAAGCACTTTCAAGATTTTGCAATGTGATTATATCAATTTTCTTTCATCTATAGGACAGAAATTATTTTATTGGATGTTTTTGTCTCCCGAAGCAAAGCAATTTTCTGCATGACCAGCAGTAATGTAATGTGAGAGATTTTAATAAGGGACAATTATTTTTAAAATTAAACTTTAAACAGAGTGCAGATTGTAATATAACGGGGAAGTGCTAAAGATTATCGAGCTTCTTTTAAAATTGTTAACATTGAAACACACTCTTTGATGATTCAGAGTAGCACAGAACTTCCAGAACAAAACAGATTTTTCCACTTTTTCTTTCCTTATTTCTTGCATCATCAAAACCTTCCTCAACCTTAAATATAAAACCAAAAAAATTACACCATTCAAGGAGAGAAATCTTAACTTTATTGAATTTTTTGTTTGTTTTTGTTTTTGCTTTGGATTGGATTGTTTTGGAAAAAAATTACAATGTTAACAATAGTGGAAACATCAGAGAGCAAAATGTCTGTTAGGAGCTGTCACGTTCCACTCAACTTTTTATTTAAGTATGTTGATGACAATCTTCAAATACATGATCAAAGTCTCATTTTACACTTAGTAGACAAAGGATGAAGACAGCATATTCAAATATTCTACAGAGATCTTAGTCTGGCCATACGCAGATTCACAAATGTTGGAAAAATGTGTGAGGTTTTTAGAATGTAAGGATGCCACAAATGCATTACAGTTAGTGTTAGGACTGTATGGTGATCTTAATACATTGTGGGTCTTTAACCAGTGCTATCAATGTTTCTGTTATTTTTTTATTCTTTTCTGTTATTTTGTATAGTTAGTAATGTCAATAATGTTTTCAAAATAAGCCCTGTGACTTTTTATCAGAAGCAGGAAAACCAGAAAAATATCATGTTTTCTGGTACAGTGAGCTTGTTCCAAATCATGATTCTGCTGCAGTGCAACCTTTTCTCTTTTGGCTATTTTAAGTTTGGTAACTGTTAACCTATGAAGGAAATTCTGTAAAGAAGATACATACAGCTAAAGAGAACAAGCAATTACATATTGGCTACTCATAGGTCAGATAGTCAGAACTAATGAGTTCCTACCGCTTTGCCTGGTTAATGTGCCCATTAATATGCTCATGATGAGCATTTGCTGGCTACTCAGATTAGGAAGAACTGGCCTGTGTTGCTCCCTGGAATGGATCAGTGTTCGATGTCAATCAATGCTCAGCATTTTAATTTCACTGTTTCTGTTTCCTTTTGTTTGTTTTACTTCCCATTGTCTGCTCTTTCATACTTGCAGTTTTCCTCCTGAATCCCTATGTTGTTATTCATGTCAGCTTTACTTTTCTTATCTGGCATGATTCTAGGTTATGCAGTTTCTTATGTGTTCTTTTTCAAAGCCTGAGAGTTTTAGTGGTAAACCTGACCCAAGGTCATGCAGCTTGATACGTCAAACGTAGATGTTGGATTGCAAATAGCTGAACTGCTGAGCTAAGGGATAGAGATTAGGGATAAAAAAAAAAAATTAAAATAACATGTGCTGCAATTCGCTTTTGTTCTTTTCTCAAAAAATGGCTAAGATTAAATAGTTGCAAAAATTCAGCATATGGCAAGAAACTTGATGTAGAATGTTAAGCGTTAATTTCTAGAAACCTAGTACATAATTAACACTCCTGTCAGACGATCCTAATGAATGGTGCTAGAAATAATTAAGGTCTACTTTGGGATTCACCTCATGATGCATGTTCACATTTGATTCAGATCTGTGTGACAGCTGCCAGATTGGTCAGTACATAAACAATTTGGCTGGGAGCATTGGCATGTGTGAGGTCTACTGCTTTAGTAGAAGCTCCAGAGATCTGGGGCCAGTAACAAGCTTTTTTTGCTACAGATTTCATACTGGGAAGAAAGATACAAAATCCACTCCTATAAGCACAGATTAACTTGAGGAGAGAATTTTTTACTGATTCCATATTACTTTGAACTTGTGAATGTGGAATGGCTGCCACTTTTTATAAGGGCATTATCCATTCTAATATTCAGAGTAACTGAAAATAAAATGGAACTTAACTTTGGATCTGTGAACAGTTATATTGGACAGATAAATCTTTTACAGAGCAGTGAAAAATTCTCTTAGAGCTCAAGGCTACTGCCATGAGGAAGTTCAATTAAAATTTTGGGGATATGCTTTTAAGATAAAAGTTGATTGGCCAGATTTTACAATATGAAACTAATATTTTGTTAAGGCTTTATTAGATTCATAGAAATAACTAGTTCTGCTTTAATTTTCCATATATTGACATTCATTGTCCATTATTTTCTTTTACTTTCAGTGGGTAAAACAAGAATTTTAGGGAAAAATAGAATATTTCAACCATATTTCAAATTCCAAATCATACTTGACAAATAAGAATGTATACAATAGGAATTAATTGTAGACAAAGCAGAGAAAAAGTTCCAAGTGATTTTGTCAAGGTTGATATTAATTTGAGGTAGAAAAACTAGTCAGTGAATATGTTTTTACATAATACTCTTTTTAAAAGCAAGTAGAGTGAGTTACCCAGCTGGGAGATGGGGATGTCCAGTTCTTCAGAATGATGCAGATTGATATTACATAAGTCTTGTATGTGTTAGGTTGGCAATGTTTTGCAGAAAAGTAATTTGTATGAAATTAACACATTTCTAAAATCCAAGTGAGGTTTTTAATTTCTTCTCTTTTATCTTTTTTTTTTTTTTAAGTGATCGGATCGTTAAATATCAGGCAAACTCTCGAAAAAAAAATCTATTATTTCAGAGATTTCTCATTAATCCAGCTATTGACAAGAATGGATATATAACCTTGCATAATTGTTTCTAAATCAAGCCTTACACCATGGAGAGTAGTGTCAATTAAATATCTCATGAAGTATTGCAAACAGTTAAAAAAACCACATACTCCTCCTGCCCCCAATGAACACATTTTTAATGAAGTTGTCAGATTCAATTAGCTCTGTGACTCAAAGATAGAAATTATGAAAAATTTGTACAATATATGTACTTAACTCTCAATTACTTTTTTCAAAATATCTTTCAGTGTCTTTTACATCTGACAATAGATTATACAGAGCATGAAGCCTGGATTGGATTTTATGCTCTAGAATGAAAATACAATTACAATATTAATCAGGAATTTCAATTGTACTTTTATTTCCTCTTCTAGATTGAATGATGGCAATATGGATAAAAACAAGCATGTTTTTCTAATGAAATCTATGCTAGCCTGTAAAAGGAAAATTTAAAAAATATTTCCCCTGTGGCTGCCAGATCATGTTAAGTAAAGTGAAAGAATTTCAGATTAGCAATCTTTTCTGCCATAAATCATCTGGAATTTTCTGAGGAGAACTGCCAAAGAAATTTCAGAAAAGACCTGAAAAAATTTGAAGGGTGGAGAAGGGTTTGTTAGGAAAGAATTGAAATGAAATTTCAAGAGTGGAATTTAGGTTTGCTAAGATTGGAGTTTGGTGCTATTCAAACCCTTTGTCTGATGAGAAGAATAACAGCTGTGGTACTATGAGGTGGGTAAGAAATTCAACTAAGTTTATCAGGAAAGAAACTAAAGAGATGAAAATTTAGAAAAATTGAGCTCAGGAGAAAAAAGAGATAGTCAATTTACTAACAAAAATATATGACTGTCAAATATTTTTAGGAAAAAGTAATGAAAATAGAGCTATAAGGAAACTTTACACTGTAGTAAGTTAGGTCCACACAAATGTGTCTAGGAAGGGTGTGACACTAGTAAAGACAATAGCACATGATTGTGTTTTCTCTCTTTGGTGAGTCTAAGACATGGGAATGATAGAGTATTTTATATTGCTGAGAAAATACATTGATATTCAAAGTATTACAGCTACATTCTGTTACTATTTTACAACAAATTGGTAGCTGTATTGGTAAACAGAAAGCTGTTGAAAATCTTACACTTTATTGGGAAGAGTGGGTCATTCTTCCAGAGGGTGCAGTCCTTCAGGTATAGGTAGCTGCATCTCAGGATTCTCTGTCCATGGGCCTCCCACAGGGTCACAGCCTCCTCTCAGGCATCCGTCTGCTCTGGTATGAGTCTCCTCCAAGGGCTGCAGGTGAATATTTACATCCCATATGAACCTTCAAGGGCTGCTGGGGCACAGCTGCTTCACTGTGAGCTGCACCACAGGCTGCAGGGGAATCCCTGGAGCACCTCCTGCCCTCCTTCTTCACTGACCTTGGTATCTGCAGAGTTGTCCTTCTCACATATTCTCATCCTGAGGAAGCTTCCAGCAGTTTTTCACAGAAGCCATCCCTGTAATCCCCCCTCCACTTCCAAAGCTTGCCCATGCAAACCCGATAGACATGACATGTTATTTTAACATTTACTTGTCAGAGATTAAATGATAAAAGCATGCAGTGCAAACTCTAATAACCTTTCGAGTGGTTCTATCACCAAGCTTTCTTATAAATTTTGTCATTATTCAGATGAATCTTCTGTGTAAGTACACATTATTTTTACTCTTTTTAGCAATCTCATGATCACAGTGTTAGGGAGAAGTATGCTGGGGAAGTTCCTGTTCCAGAATTTAAAACACCAACATAAAACAGGGGACAGCACTTTCATCCAGCCACCCTGAACAAAGAAACAGATAATTTATTTCATTTCTACAAGTTCTATACCAAGAGAAAACCCATTTGAAAATTTAATGGAAGTGCTAGTACCGAAGCGATAACTTGCAGAAGAAATACATAGAAAGAAAATGGGGAAATCACTTAGTAAGTGTCAAAACAATAATGTTCTCCTTCCTCTTGATACACTGCCCGTAGTTTATCTATTCCACTGCTCTTATGCAGTATAAAGAACAGAAGTTCAGGGCGTAACAGATTAATGGCATGTTTGTAGCAATATGAATGAGAAGGTTAGGAAATTTACATTACTGTGAGCTACAAGATGGATTAATGTAATTTCTGTTTACAGCCTCACATTTAATTCATCAGTTTTTCCAGGAGAAAATGCATTACTGGTATCATGCTTCGAGAGGGTTTTGGATACGGTTATATTAGTAGTGTATAACTGGAGACATTTGTTATAAATACAGAGCTTAATTCCATAAAATGTTGAACAGTTTCCTAATGGAATATAGCTTCTCTTTGATAACAGGGTGAAACAGTGTCAGGTTTTGGAATATAAATAAAACAAAAGTATGAAAGTAAAGATGATAAAAATTGCAGAGCTCTAAAACTGCATTTTATTTTCTTCATCATATTAATATCACTACCTTTATTGTTTTCTCTGAAACTTTGATTTGAATTTTCTCTTTCTTAATATTCTCAATATATAAAATGAAATTAAAAACAGACAAAATTTTAAAATATTTTTTCTTACACGGTACAACAAGATAGTCATGACACACTGTTGATATTTAGCTACATTATAATGCCCAATTTAGAAGAGGATTTAAGAAGAAATTTAAATAATATGTTCAATAGGAATGGATGGCATGTATGTACGCCACTGTTATTTTTCTCTTTTGATCTTTTAGTATATTAGACCTTTTCTTCAACGATTTTTACAATCTGTAGGATTATTCTCTTTTTCTTTGTAAGAAACATCTGGAATGAGGAAAAGCTGCAGATCTGTACTGTAAAAACTAATTTTTTTTTCAATATTCAAATCTCATTAAAAATGTAGAAGTGTTCTGGTTTGGGGGAATTTGCCTTTATGTAAAAGATAGGAAGCAAAGTAACCTACCTGTAATGAGAACTAGGTCCATACTTGGCTGTTTGCTTTCCATTTGTCCCTGCCTCTCAAATCACAGCTCAGTGCCAGGCCCTGCTGTAGTAGCTGGCTCTTTAAAACAGTTCTGCCAGTTTAAGACATCTTTATATAAATATGTTATCTGCAGTCAGGGTGATTTGACAATTTTTATGCTGTTAGGAAATTGAATAGTTAAACAGTATAAAATAAAAGACAGACAAAAATGTTCAAAGATGGTATTTCAACAGAAATTAATTAATAAATTGGTTACCAGAGCTTTTCTCTTTTGTTTCCAGGGGAATTTAAGACAACAGCAGCAAGAGAAGTTTGTGATGGGGTAGGGAAAGTGAAGACTAGGAAATATTTAGATTCATTTTGTTATCTCTCCAGGCAGTGAGCAGGGAAAAGAAAATACTAAGGAAAGGTGGGAGCCGAGATCTTGAGGTACTAAAGCAATGTGCATTTCTTATTTGTTAATAAATTAATAGTAACTTATAGTTTATTTACTTTTACTTACAGTTTACTTACATATGGGTATAGGAAACCGGAGATCTGATTGCCACTGAGTGTAGCTCTCATGTACCCTTTCAAAGATCTGAGTCTTGTGTCCCTTCCTCTCGTTAAAATGATGGATTAAAATGTAGTTAATTGTTTTTTGTATGCAGAAGCATCTGGAAAGATCTGTAAAAAGGAACATGGGTATTGTTATTAATGAAAAGCCTAAATGGAAATTAATGTAGTGTATTTTTTTCTAGATAAAATACTAATGAGTTTTCTTCTAAGATCATCTTAAAACCTGTAGAAAAATCTTTTGGATTATATATATATATATGCTTACAATACTTTTTCTTTTATGCCTTTCCATGTGTTATTAAAATGAACAAACTAACAAAACCACTAAGTATCCAGGTTTCTAAAAGTAAAAGTAAAGAGATTTAATTCTCTAAAATACTGTTTGTAGTCACTTTTCATAGCAGACTTCCAACAAAAAGGGGAGTTGTATGATCTAATATGTAAGACTGTTACTTCTTGGAGGAGAGACTGGTTGTGTTATAAAAATTTAATAAAAATTATAGCCTTGTATCATTGTAGAGGTCTGTCTTCATTTGAAAAACAGGTGTCTGCTAAGGAAGACAGAAACCACCCTTGAAATGGAAAAAATGTAAGCTACCCCCAACCTCCAAATTATTATAATCTTGAAATCAAGGTGCTCTCAGGCATATGGGAAAAGGAATAACAGTTCTTTACTAAGGAAATTAAAATAAAAAATTCAGTAGTACAACAACAAAAAAATACCCCAAAAAAACAACCCACTGGCAGAGTCAGAAAACAACCCGACACCCTGTTGGTCAGGGTGTTGGTAGCAGTCTGATTAAATGGTGGCTGCAGTCCTCTTGGAGTGACAGATGTGGTTCTGTTGAAGCAGTGATCCTGTAGAAAGGTGTAGTTTTCCTCTGAAGGTCCAGTGGTGTAGATGGGTCCAGTCTCTCCTCTGGGAATCCAGTGGAAAAAGGCTGACTGTGGTGTTCCAAGTCTCAGATTATATCCAGGTAGGAATGCTTGCCTCCTCCCCCTGGGTGGAGCATCTCCAGGTAATTTTATCAGTCATGCAGTGAGGCTCAATGGCCCAGTAACAGAAGAGATCCCCCTGGAGGGAGGATGGGTTGTGGAAGAGATAAAGAACATTGCCGGTTTTAACAGATGGTAATAGAATACATACTTTTAGTTACATCTTGCATTGCAACCCAAGACAAGGTGTTAGCTGTTTTCCTTCTGCCTATTTTCTTTCAAATGGAAGGGAGTTAAGTTCAGCAAAGCCCTTGGCAAAGGGTGTGGTACTTCTGCAACACCTCTTTCTCTGAGAGTTACTAGCGGTCAGAGAGGAAGCTAAGCACAAGGTGTTGGAAGTGGGGGACTTGGGGATTGGGTGAAAGGACAGAGGTTTTGCACCATTTTTGAGACATACATGGATGACTAAGCATCCTGGGATTGTGATTTCAGTACAACAAAGGTACCACTGCATTTCTCTTAAGGGAACTGGTATGGGTCACTGCCTATGTTGGACAATATTGTGGTGTTGTCTTTGAGGTGTAGTAAGAAGGTAAGAAGAGACAGTGTATCCTTTGCTTTTTTAATCAGCCCATTTTGAAGAGACAGGAAGCACAGAGAAAGATCAGGGGATGCCTCTGGCAAAATTGTTGTACTCATTCTGTCCTTCCTTCTGTGGCTGTATTTCAGTGCAGAGAGTCAACCTACCAGAATAAATTTAGCATAGGCAGCTTTGAAGTCTTTCATGTGATTGTAGTCATCTGTATCCTAAGGATACAAATTCTAAGGCAACTTTCAGTTACTTGTCCTCATTCCTAAGTGTCAGCATGATCCTTCCACCCTCATGTGGGACATTCTAGTAACAAAAACATCCAAGACTTGTAATAGTTCCAGACAAGGATACACATTTTCCCTGGTTTCCTCTAGAGAGGTAATTTCCATATTTTTTGCATTTCCTCTGGGTATTTTTTATTATTTTATATCAGTATTTTAATTTTAACTTTCAAAGATAAGGGACTGGCAGCCACACAATAAGACAATTATACTCCAGTTTAAAACTGTGAATACCAATCTAAGTCCTGAAATTTCTGCTGTTGATCTGCTGTTGGTTTTCAGATGTCTATCCCCTCTGCCAGTCCCAATTTTCAAGTTAATTTGTGGCCACCTGGTATTAGTAAGCTCTGTTTAGAACATCAACATCACACGGCAGGATGCAAAACAAATATTTTGCCAGCTGTTTTTGACCTTTAAATAACAGCTTATGCCAATGTGGCTCTTTGTAGTTATCCAACAAACTATTATATAATATATAGAACAGAATAAAATAGTGCTTAGTTGAGACTTTGGATTCTTGTATGACCCTTGTTCATAAAAACTAAACCTCTGGATTTAGTCATTCCATAAAATTATGCTGATGTAAGAAAAATTGTACTGGATTAATCAAATCTGTCTTCTAATTTTGTCTCATAAGGGGTCATAGTGGAGAGTTAGCAACTGCAAGAGTTTAACATGCCATTTGTTTTTTCATAACTTCCCAGTCAGTGCTAGAATTTGTATTACTGTATTTACTGCCAGAGATATAGAAATTTTTTATAAAATCATCTGCCATTTGACCATATCAAGATGAAATTTTGAGCAAGTTACTTCAGTGAGTGTGGTGTTTTTCTGGACTTAGATTGGGGTAGGTGGCCAGATACCTCATCAGTAATGCCTTTTCTTTATTCACAAGTATTCTATGACCAAAAAAAAATTTTTCTTATTTTCCTTTGAGACTGAGGATTATAACTTCAATATTCAAAACATGGGACATCACAGATATGAATTTATGCACATTACAGTTTTGAATTTATCTTTTATATTTCTTTTTATTTATATATTTATAATATTATATATTATAATATATATTATATATTATATTATATATCATATTTATTTATACATTTATTTTTTATTTATCTTTTCTAATAACT